CAACTGTGTCTAGGCATTTTGGTGCTTATCTCTACATGAAAGCAGAAGTATAACCACAGTAAGTTCCGAAGATCCTGACTGGGACAAGAGATCTACTAGTAGATGTCGGCAAGTTTGTAAGAAGTCCAAATGAATACCGTTGGTTTTAAATAGCAGATACAGAAAAAAATGGTGTTTTCTATAACCGTCACAATACAAAATAAGTTCTTCAAATCCAGTTTTACTCAAGGTCATTAAAGCTTCATTATTTTAATCTATAACTATGCAATAGTAATAAGCTGTAGCATTTTTTTCTCTTTTTTAAAGAACTGATGAACCTTCTAAAGTGTTCAGTTTGGAGTAATCCAAAAAACATTTAGAGTTATATTACCTTAACACTCCAATATATTATTAACAGTCCAATAATTTAACCTGTGTCCAATTTTCAGTGAGTTTAAGCTGATATTTAAACAACCGAGGTATCATCTTTTGATTTATCTATATATATATATATATATATTTTTTTTTTTCTTTTTACAATAGACCTGATAGTGAGTACTTACATATCCGCCGCCGTAGCGGTTTCCTCCCCCGTATCCGCTCCCGTGACGGTTACCTCCGTATCCACCTCCCTGTGAGTACCCGCCGTATCGATTGCCTCTCCCACCGTAGGAGTATGTGTGTCCGTAACTCTCGTGTCCGTGACTTCCGTAACCCTTAGCGTGCCTACGGCCTCCTGTGTAAGAAGAGCCCACTACAACAGTGGCAAAAAGCGCCACCGATACAGCCAAAACTACCAATTTGCTTTCCATAGTTCTTCTTGATGTGCAAAGTGATACCTAATCTTTCCGAATCTTTCTTTTTAATACTTTTCCTGGCAAAAAAATGACGGTTTTTCGCCAAAGGATGCTTCTGCCAACTTACAAATTATCCTCAAAGCTTCGAGAGCAGATATCTTCTTATTCCTATCTTTCACCAAAGTAGTCGTGCAGATGTGCTTGTACGAAAGCAGTAAGGCTATGCAGTGATTGAACGACCTGAGCAAATCTTATATATATACAACTAAGCTGCCGCCGCCCTAATTTGCATATTGAGCTCACACCTTACCTCTGATTACAAGTCACGTGCTTTGGGAGGGCTGCTTCAAAAAAAGAGTGACAGATCTCTTTTAAATGAGTTTTTTTTTCATTACATTTTAGTGCTACTGATTGTAATTCAAACATTGATATTTAACAGCTTGACTACTTCCTGTGCACATTAAGTACATATTGATAAGATAGGATATCAAGACCTTTGCTTATTTTTAGCAACTTCGACAGAACATCCAGAAAGAATGGTACACTATTGCAGGGAACATGCACATGACTTTCGACCATTATTTAGTTATCATCAGTTGATTCATTGTATTAAATGAAATGAAATAATCATATCAAATGTATTAATGTTTTTTTTTAATTGATTTATTGGTTACTTTGAACCTAATTCTTGGTGGATTGATGAGCAGTAAGTAAGTTTTTAATCAATCAGGTTGTTTATTTTTAACAATTATTCAATTAGTCAATTAGTTAATCAATAATTTGATACTGATGAACAAAGCAAAAAGCAGTCAACAGACAAATTTTCAATGTTACTTTTATGATCGTTTTAATCAATTTTCAGTATTAATGATTGAACAATTTATTAAATGAAGTAATTTATATTATTGATACACTGATACATTTTTGGGGGAATTATTTGGGTGATCCGATGTTTGCCGTATTCCTTCACTGAACTCGGCGGTGAGACTTAAAGCCATAAATTTTCTTCAATCAACCGCTAATGTTGATATTTTTTTCCTCCAATCTTTCCAATATATGTGTTTAATTCATATTTTTCTGGCTTCAAACCGTGTGATTAGGGTTCGACTTGTATGACACTGAAGTACTGATAGTGACATAGGCAAGAGGCATGTGGACTAATATTTCAGATTGTCGTTTATCATATAACCAGATGTGGTACGACAGGCCATTTGTTGTGTTCTTGGTGATACAACCAGATACAGCTCTCAGCCACGCCGTGTCATATCTACAATGATAAATTTCTGTCTCTCGGAGTTCACATCGACCTATGCTAATAGTATTCAGGGACTTTAAAGCTGGTAATGAGGTGATATTTTTATCAGAATAAAATGTTCTTTATTACTTACATCATTTATGTGTGTAATTGTGACAGGTTCCACATATGTTGAGTCTAAAGAACTCAATAACTTGCAGTGCTTTTGCTTGCTCTATTCAACTTTACTTATTTCTTGCAATCGGTAAATCAGCAAAATAAAAAAATCGAAACATTCACAGAAGTGATAAATCCATTACAAAACATCTGGAAAAAACACTTAAATACAATGTATTAAGTAAACGGATGACGTTTTACGATATATCGATAAAGAAAGATATGTCTTTATGTCTTATAAGTATCACAGAGGAAACTTGATCGGGCGAAATATAAATGTATAGTTGGTGAATGGAATGGCGAGCTACTAAGCTTCCAGGTCGTCTAACCAAAGAATTTCGGCCTTTTGTGTACAGCAAGTCCTGACAAATTACTGGACATTCAGTACTCTTGCAAACGGGTGCCAAACCCTTGCCATTTTTTACCTGGTCAGTTAATATCTCTTCAGCGTCCATCTGGGAGTGAAACAAATTTTTTAAGATTACCTGCAGATCGCAGCGGTCATTACTAACTTTGACACTCCAGACATGCTTAATGGGCAGTAAGAGGGATATGTGTGTTCTTTAACAGTGTATACAGCACCTGGGTCGAGTTCTTTGCTTTCATAGTGATCACACAATTCATTGGTAGGAGTGAAAAAAACTCCCCATTGAGAGATTTACTAATAGCAATAAGATTATCGGGAAAATAAAACAAAAGCCATAAGTTGACACACTGTACTCTGGCTTTTGTTCAATGTCTTTTATTTGCCGCCCCAGACAGTAAATGAAACTCCAACTTTTTCTATGAAACTTATATTTTAGAATCCATTAAATAATCTTGGGATCACATCCACTGGCCCATCGTTCCATCTATTCCATCAAATGCACATCCACGCTATTTTACCACTATCTTACAACGTACACGTGTTCTGACCAGTTTTAAAGTAACACTAGTTCACGATGAATGTGCATCAACGGACGATCAAACAATTTATTTACATTTAAGGTAAAAGAGGCGCAAGAGGAGAGATGACAGAGAAATACGACACCAACGCCTCACAGAACGTTTAATGCGCGTCTCATGGTAGATTTGAATGTATGGTAACACGTTCTGACCCTAAAAAAATACTAAGTTAGTCCTGGTGTGACCACGCCTGGACTTGTACCTTAACAGCACACGGCAATGTTAGGAGCGGCCGTGTCATACCGTGTGATATTGTCCACATGCTTCTCTCCACACAACATGGCATCAGAGTTAACAACATGTTGGCTTTTTTTACCTCGCCAAACAGCTGGCTTTGGCGGGTCACATCGCACACTATCCAGCGTGTCCTAGACAGGCGCGGTCGGTTTTTACATTAATTTTGTTTTTATGTAATCTTAAATTAGATTTAAATAACGCTTTTTATTCATCCAGAACTATCGTTACAAACTTTAATTACTCTTATAACCATGCACTTGCTGACCAACGCAGGGAGTTTCTCTTTTGAGCATTTGTTCATAATCCAACATATGTACATGTACACCATGCCTCACGACTCCGATAGGTGCAAATCAATAGGGAGGTGATTGCGTCACATTGACCAATGACAACTCACCACTGGACCACAAGGACAAAGTAATCAGGGCAATTACTGTCTAAAAAACAGACAGCTATTTCCACATAACAAGAAGAGTATCGCATTTACAAGAAGATGACAGAGGGAATTCACTGTGAGCTACATCCACAGAGAAGGTAGGAACAAAAAGCGCCCAAAGAGTGAGGAGATTTCATCAATTTTATCTTCACTTCTTTACTTACGGTGTGCACACAAACGCCGTTAAGTCATTATATTTAAGTTTAAATTATCAGTATGTATTAGTTCCCAACTTATGCTCACCATAGATGACTCCCGCTTTCGCCAACATACGCAGCTCTTTATAAAAATAATTGTATGGAGTGGGTGTGGGGAAACCCCCCCCCCCTCCCCCTGCATCCCCACAATCTAGGGCTCTATCTGTGGTTTTGGTGAAAAAAAAAAAAAAAAAAAAAAACTAGAAAAGTGCTCCGAGAGCGCAGACCTCCGCCAAGGCAGCAATTTTTGATTATTATTGATTGATTGATTATTTACCCGGATCTCCACCAAAAACTAATCACTTCTAAGTTAACCCGTTTCCCACCTACCCAAATTTTCATCAAAATTGGTCCATAAATTTTGAGTTATGTTGATGACAAACAAACAGAAAGACAGACAAACAGGGGCGAAAACATAACCTCCTTGGCGGAGGTAAAAAAAAAACATGTGGGCCGAAATTATTTGCTAACCTTTACAGTTGTAGCACCGTAACGCTAAACGTCTAAGTACATTTCAGGAGGTTTCTACATTTATACATTGACATTACGAAAACCTCAAGAGGAAGCCACAATTTTATATAAGATTAACCAAAAATATATATTTACGATACTTATAATAAAAAATTAAGAAGCGTTTATATTGGAAAGATACGGTGTCTTTTAGAATCGTTTTAAACCACGAAAAAAATTCACCATTAAGGTTTCAGCATTTATTCTGCACCTTACGTTTGTGTATAGTTTCAGGATAATCATGCACATGGTATGGCGCATTGACAATTGAATGCTAAGATAGCATACGCCATTATTACAGTTTAACTGATTTTATTGATTGAATCCATAGGCTATGCAGCAAACCTGACCATTGAATGACATCGAGCAAACAAAATAACATCAAAATTGGATTTCATTCTAAAGTTTTTTTTTCCTTTTTTTGCTTTCTTCATATCTTTTTCGGTCGTTAATGTCATTTTTTTTTTTTTTTTTGTCTTTGTAGGCACCTACACTGACGGCGCCTTCATGTCGTCAAACCCTCCAGCATTACACAGAGTTGTGTTACACATACACCACTCGTCTACTGTGTACTGGAAAGGGCCGCTAACACATCCGTTCTCGTCCAATGAGGCACTGGCCAGACCCGGAAATCCATCTGCGCAGCCGCGGTATGTGACTGAAACACGAGATGTGAAGTGAAGGTGAAGGCCACCGTCATTACATAAGTGATTGTTTTGACTTCAGTTTTGTATCTTATCATTGCTTTAGTAGTTTAGGTTAGTATTTTATTAGCTTATATTTTGTCGAAATACTGAGCAATTATACTGAGCCATAAAGGTTTTTTTATTTGTCTTCTTTGTTACTGTTAATATACACTATAACTGAAAATCTCACAAAACCCATCGTGACAAAGCCAGCACAGTGCATTAAAGACAGTGTACATTACGATCAGTAGGCCTATGGCTGAAATGATAACACTTGTTACGCGAGACCTGCACTTACATCCATCTAGGTCTCTCCTGACAAAGCATCGCTGCGACAGAGGACAAGGCTCAGTGCCGACCCAGGAAGGATTCACAAGACCACTGTCTGCGCATGCGCCCCATCCACTGTTACACGAGTAGCACAAAAAAGCTGCAAATGTTTTAAATAGTAATTTTCTGATCCAAAATATACATTGTAGATAAATTGGCACTTAAAATTGATAAAAACAATTGATTCGACTGATTTGGAGGTTGCTGTCTCTGCTGGTCGACGCAGGAGACTACGGCAATACATTGTAGCTTATGAAACACAGATAATTAAGAAAAAAGTGAGCTCTCAGAACATTTAGCATTCTTATTTGAATTTGATATGCCTTTCAGGAGCATTTCGAAACTTTATGTAAAAAAGTCACTGCATTGGCTGTGAAGAAGTGAAAACAGATATTTGGTCTACACTTAAAATAAAATGTACATGTACATTTATCTTTCCTTTGATCAATCCGATTGTTCTGAATTGATTTAATGAATACAAAACTCTTTTATTATTTGTGCTATTTTGAGAGATACATCTGACGTTGGCCCGTAGCAAGCAATTCCAAACAGGGGTTTCTTTTTTCTGAAAAATGGGACTTTATACCATGGAGCCTTTTTGTAAGAAGATAAAATTTTACCCGCGTGACACATTTTCCTGACCAAAGGACGGGGTCTTTCGAAGCCCCTGTTCTCCCCCCCCCCCCCCCCCCCCACCCCTTGGCTACGGGCCTGCACGGCCAGACGTTCTGGAAACAGACACTGGGCAGCGTAACATTACCTGGTTGACACCAACTCTCCCCGAACACTGTCAGAAGCAGAAGCAGACACAGCGTGTTTCTGGTCATGGTGTTGGTAACGAGTATTCCTCCGGTCACAGCAACGTGATGATGTTATCCGAGTTATGGTTCCATGTATTTTATACCAGGATCTGATTTTATTGCCAATTATTGCCAATTGTATTATCCAAATTTACAACTACCTTTCCCAATTTTACCCGGACTTCCGAACATCATTGTCTAATTGGGATTCTAGTGTTTATCTGTTTTACAAGGTCAGCAGTCGGTTGCAGTAGTCGAAATGACTTTTTCCTAGCTGATGAAAGTTTCCAAGCAAAAATTTAAAAAAATGGAGTAAATAGCAGATTATTTAGCTCCACATTATCCCCTTGCTTTTGAATATATCACATTCACAGACACACACGCACGTACGCACTTACATACGCACACACACATACGCACAGCCACTCATAGATATCTACTTTTCAATACTAGTCGCAACTTTGGAAAAAGCATTTCTGAGTATTGTTGGACATTTTATGGGAGATAATTAATCCACTTTTTTTTTTAATTTATTGATTAATTAAAGAAAGCAGTCGTAACCATAGATAGTCTAAATGTAATTTTCCTAAATGTAAATTCCTAATATTTCATGAACATCTGCCAGACTTCGCATTACTAACACACAGATTGTACATTGAAGTAAATAAAAGGAATGTGACATGGTTTGGCGAAAAGGTTAAACGAGCGATTAATAAAAGTTAACGTTTTTTAATGAGTCGTTCATCATTGTCAGTAGGTACATTGCAATAGTACATGTAGGTGTGACCGTAATGTTAACATTAATATCTCATTAATCTTCTGGGACCTGTTAAAGTAAAGGTCTTAGATTTTAAAGCTAATAATTTTGCCAACAGCCGCCTGCTTAAATCAGAAATCCCACATCACAATATTGTCTCTTCGATGTTGGTCTACCAGTTGAATGACTGGCCAACAATAATAATGTATCTCACATGATTGGTCCACTGTAGCCTCTCTAACCTCAATCTAGACAATCACAATGTGTTGGAAGCCTTAGTGAAAAGGACTTTTAGATTACTTGTGAAACTCATTTTAGTCGGCTATATCTCAAAAGAACACAAATTTCGGACCGTTGGTGGATCATGGCCCTGGAATACCCGGGGGACATCACTGATTACATGTACCGGTACATAGCTTCTGTTTCGGAAATATTCTTTTTCAGTATATTAAATACAACTCATACAATGGAACTCAAGATATATCAACAAAAGTTTTATTTTACTGTCGTATTTTCTTACATCAGGTTAATTTACACGTGCTTATCAAAAGTTAGAAAATAGTGAAATATTCTAAATACAGCTTCTCCTGTCGATATCGAGCTTGTAGTGTCTAACTTACTTGTACTCTCAAACACCCATCCAGCCTAGTCTCCAACCCCATCCTGTCTACTCTCCAACCCCTATCGTGTCTAATCTCCAACCTTAAATCCGTCTACTCTCAAACCCACTATCCCGTTTACTCCTCATCCCTTTTCCCAGCTACTCTCCAATCCCTCAGTCGGCCCTGGAGTTGAAACCAGCACAACCCGAAGCCAAAATCAAATATCCTATAATTAATTTTCTCCTCTACTATAATAAACGTGTTCTACATGAAATAAATAAAGTGACGAGATGCCATTGCACTGATTGTGAATGATCCGGAATTTTAACAATAGTTTCTATATCAATTTCCAGTGGGAAAAAATAAATAAACATTAAATATACTGCTGTCTAACCTGTGGCACATCTACGTATTCAGATCTAGTGATAAAGTTAAGCCCCGGATAGTTAACCACATAATCAGAACACATTATACTGGCGGCATTTCCCCGCCGTTGCAGCGGTTTCCCTTGCAGAGGCACCACCTGTCCACGAAGCTGCCGTAGCCCATGGAGTGGCTGTTAGAGCAGACCACGCCCCCTTCCTCTACCACGTGATCTACCAGGTAGTCCCAGCCGTCTGCGCAGCCGCGGTACACGTCTGAGGAAAACAATGGATGGTGTATATATACTGAATGTTTGAAATGGTTGATACAAATGTAAAGATTAGGTCCAGCTTTGTAACTTGATATTTTTGAATTGAAAGGCAATCCAATACGATGGTCGATCCAATTATAAACCAAAGTCTACATGTAAGTGCTATAATACCTCTGACGTGAATGACATATTATATTACTTTTTTTTCTTTCCTTTGGTTTTAATTGTATCCAATATGATAACGAGAAACGGTACGTTCAAATAACGCGACACTTACAAATGATTGTCAAATTTACAAAAAACATCGTCTCAATATTCCCATGCGTTTTTAACATGGCACCATACTTACCCCCGTTTCTGTCACGTCTCATAAAACAGGTGCCCGTAAGGGGGCAAGGAGTCTCGCCTACCAAGTCCGGATTCGTCACTCCTTTCGGAGCACATACATCCCAACCACTGTTGCAGTCAAAGCAGCGTGAGACTGAAGGAAAGGAAAGGGTTTCAATGTCATAAGAATAAAATAGTTTTCATTAACACCAGCAGAACGACCGGTAAGCAGGTAATAGTAAAAAGGTACATGTTAACTTTGCCCACAGTAAAATCAATCTAGTACGGCATATAAAAATTGGTGCATGAGCTGGGAGTAGTGATGGTGGTGGTGGTGGGGGGTCACACACGCATTTTTTCGGAACGCGTCAGTTACAATAGCAAGAAACAAAGAGGAAACTGAAGAGAATCCCTAATCCTGTAATAGTTTTTTTTTCAATTGGTAGCATTGCCATTATAACGGTTGTCATTTCCACATTATCGATGTCACACAAAACTTACTTTTACTGTCCGCTGTCTTGTCGTAATCTGGAATAAAAGGAATCAGGTAATGTTATTAAGGACATTTTTTCTTCTTACCTTGCATCCCGTACAACAACGTACAACGAGTAAAGTATAACACTCCACTGGAATCTTTCACAACTTGCCACGGGGCTCAGACTTATGCGATTAATACCTTAATATTAATACTTTTTCTACAACTATTACTATGGCCAGACTCGTCAATACTGAGTACTTAAATAAGATAATAACAGTTATTATCATTATAAGCATTTGTATAAATGAGTTTGAGTGTGTGACATGATTTGAAGTAAACGAAGGGAACATGTTTTGAACACGATAATTACACTGTAGTCTTTTGACTCAAGTAGAAGATATTAATTATTTTTGAAAACTTAGCAAATTTACTTTTTTTAATGTTGAGGAATGAAATTACAGATACATGCGTATGACAACATTATATAGTACATAACTGGAATTGGACAAGCTGAAAGCCAAGCATACAATGCATACTCCCAGTTTTCTCAAGAATCGATTGAAATAGGTGAAAAATCACGACCTAGTTATATTTTACCGTTATTCCCCCATTCCATAAACTTACCACATGGTTTAAGCAGACAAGGTTTGGTGTCCCTGTCCTCTCCTTGGCACGCTGTCGCCCCAACACAGACACGTGTTCTCACCTGATGCCCATCACCACAAGGGGCGCTGCAGTCGGACCAAGACGTCCAGGGGAGATAGTAGGCGTCTACAGGAGAGATGAAGCTTGTACCACTAACACCACTATAACGCCTCTATGGGTCTATACCACGGTGCTTACACATTAGGACAAAATACTACTAAGACTAACACTACACGACAACGTCTAAACAAATAAGTGTAAAAAGCCTTCACAACAGAACATCTTGTAAAATTGCGAGTATTATACTGTTACCTTCCCTTTGAATCTACTTCATAAACACACTATTCTCTACAAAAACAATTCATTCCAACTAAAGCCAACAAAATTTGATATCAAGAACCGTTCGCGAGTTTTAAGGAACCCCAAACCAAGCAAATTTACACACCGTACGATATATAGGGTAAAGGTATTTCGGACCAAGCCAAGAGAAATGTCTCGGTATCTCAATTGAAATATTCGCTTTATTATTACAACACGTTAAATACAAGTGTCTTGAAAAAGGAGCTGTAAGCATCAGAAAATATTATTATTTTATTTTATTTTATTTATTTTTTGTCAAAATACACCGTATTTCTCTCTCTACATGTAACTGTCTTTCCCTGGGGATGGTGCCAGTTCCATCTTGGGCTTTGGGGGGGGGGGGGTTATTTAGCTTAGTTCAGAAAAAAAAGAAAACAGTGGGAAGATGTTTGAACTTCTCCGCAAAAGGTTCTTGAATCAAATCATACCAATTCCCTTGGTGTTCCTTGACTTCTGTTGTGAGCAACAAAAAATACGAACTATTGCGTAACACCTGCGACAATGCGTAATACACATCACGTCACTTATTACATGTGTCGCACACAGAGAGCCAGACACCGCAGACATTGCCTAGCATATGCCCCATGAACCGCCAAATCCTGATTACCTTGGCCGTGTGCCTCATATTCAAGATCTTGAGTTTTAGAAAATCTATATACGCGTGCCAACAACCAGCTACTGCTGATAGCTACATGTAGGTTAAAGGTATCCTATAGGCCTAAGAGATTTTACCGCCAAATCGAATTTCATCAAACTTCAAAAGTTTAACCTACTTTCAGAGCACTTAGACCACCATAGTCGCCTTGTTTATTTCATAAGGACAGCTCGACATCATGGGCTTTTATTTAAGGGGTAAAATCGCTTTTAAGGTCCAAATTTGGGACTTTTAATAAGTGAGTAGCTTTGCCGGATAGGTAGACCTAGAGAATATAAGTTTTGTGATTTTTCGAACGCAGTTAGTATACCTTTATCTAGCTATGGCATTGTACCCTCACATTGACGACATTTACTCATAACTGTTATTAATCTTCAAAATCATCGACGGAATCTACCTTTATCTGGACCTTGGCCTTGACCTTCACCTTGACATGGTTTCTGGACACATTCCAGATAGTCCAGGTTTGACCCCTGGCATGCTCCGGGCACTGGACACGTCCTTGACCTTGTCCTCCGTCCGGTGCCGCAGGACACGGAGCAGTCGCTGGTGAAAGCCCATGCCGACCACTGGACTACCACTGGGGGCGTGACTGGAAATGTGACGTCACAATAATAAAGTTACGTCACAGTTTAGTGATCTGATGTTTTTATTTATTTATTACTTAATTTGTTTTGTCACTTATCTACATTCACAAAGCAACATCTAGGAAACGACCGTCTCCGCTCGATCACATGGTCACGCATGTAGCTTCTAGCTGCTGCTAAGACGAAAACATAATTTAATCTTATGATAATAACATTCTTTTAAAACATTATCCAAATGAAGACAAAGGTTGACAATACAAAAATGATCAAGAAGACCAAACTTCAGTTAACCAGTGAAAATTACAACGTTCTGTCCTTTACTTCTGGTTTTCAGAAAATGGCGTTTGAAATGTATAATGTTTCTCCAAGAAAGTCACATACATGTATGACGAGCTTGGTATACTAATACATGTACACATTTCAATCTGTCCTGTTGTCAGAAATGAATAACATTGGGGGATAAAGCAAACTGTCAGCAAACCAACACCACCAATATCTTAGTGGTCTGAAGCAGAGTCTATACCTTTCATTCATTAAATTGACTGGTACTTGCAATGTTCTATCCACAGTCAATGTTGACCATAAAGTTTTATTTCCAGAGTTGAGTCCAATATTCGGGTTTGTGTTACGGTATTTTGTGAACTGACCCTAGCATGTTGCTCATAACCAATAAAAAAACATGTAGAAAAAATCAGTAAATCTTTATTTCTTAAAAAATATAGGTGTTATTTTTCATACAGTTGCTTTGGTGTGTCAAGACCGCAATATTCGACTTCTTCAATAGTCCTTTGCATCCATTTATATGTAAGTCCTACTCTGTGAAATTCAATAACAAGATATGAATCATGTTTCAAGAGAGTTTCATAGGTTATCAGTCAGCCAAGATAAATTGTCTTCATACAAGTTAGTTTCCCAACAAATGCCAACTGCTTGTGGAAACTGATCTAATGTGGCGGCTACCTGGAGCTCAATGGCATTTCACTTAGACCCCATTTCCAGAAATTAGATCGACCTAACTCCCTGGGGGTTCACGCTACACAGCTGTCAGCCGAGCGGATACGAAAGTTAATTTCCCCCTAACAGTATGTAGTAGGCGGGACGGACATTTAAGCCGGATTATCTGACAGTAATCTAGTGAGACTCCCCGCGGGGATAGATCGATCTAAAAGCTCTGGGAATACAGCCTTACAAATATCGCCTGATGAGGTCATCATATCCTACATGCAGGTTAAGCTACAGCTTTCTTCTGAAATATTGAGATTTTTTACAATAATTACCTTATTACATTACAGCTGGCACGATTAATTGACAGTCCTATAATTATGCTTAACATTGAACGCATGCAGTCAATTATGATTCTTAACATGGATAAGATAGAAATATCACTATGCGCTGTCTACAGCAACATGCTGACTATGACGTGTGAAAAAATCGACTACACGTAATTGAATTTTACACTTTAAGATACACGCCGTATGTATAGTTCCTTTAAATTAAAACAGCATCTCCAATCTCGGATTTTTCTATTTGCACACACCCGTGCATGATTAGGGAAGTCTTTAGTTCTTCGTCACTTTCATTAATTTCGACATTTTTTTCCATATGAAACTTTATAGTTTAACAATTAAACCAGGATGGAAATCTCCAAATGTCCCTTAAGTTACAGGAGACAGGTGCGTGGTTTACATGCCGCCGCCATTACAGCGGTCTCCCCGGCAGAAACACCACACGTCCACGTAGCTGCTGTAGCGGAGCTGCTTCCCCGATATACACGACAGGCCGTCAGCTTGGCTCGTCGCTATAGACGCCAAAGCGGGCCAGGCGTCTGCGCAGCCGCGGTACACGTCTGTAACAAGATTTAAAATTTAACTTGGTGAAAATTTTTTAATACACAAGAAGCATGTTAAAATAAATGAACATACATTGATCATTTATTAGACTTAAATAATGCCTTTTAAAAACATACTTCCGATATTTGTACTGAATGGTTGAAACTGGCATTAGGCATAGAATAAAACACACGTCCTTCACTGGCACTAGTAATTCTAAGAACTGTTGCCAAACAAGATGAATCAGAAATTTATCTTTTGTTCTCACTAATCCATTCATTTATTTATTTGTTTAGTATTTCTATTACATATTTTTCTTCTATAAAGGTCTACCACTCACTGTAATAAACAAATATACAAAAATACAAATGAACACAACTTACAGCCTCCTTTGTCGCGTCTTATAAAGCACGTCTTAGTTTTGGGGCACGGTGTCTTGCCTACCCAGCCCGGCTGAGTGATTCCACTAGGCGCACACACTCCCCAGCCACTATTGCAGTCGTAACAGTCAGGAGCTGGAATGTGTTAGGTGAGACGAGTTAGATGTGAAAAGCATTGTGTCCTACATTGGTCTGGTTCCACGAGGACTACTTGGACCGGGAAGCGGGCCATACTGCGCAATTTAAAGATCAAGGGACTGTCTCACAAAGGAATTTTGAAGTGGTAATCCAATTTAACGAAACATTCCGCCTATTTATAACCGATGTTTCAAACCAACGGTTTCTATTTCTCCTCAGAGAATTATTATGTTTAATTAAAAAGTCATAGGTTTAGATTAACTCAAACATACCATCCTGTGTAGCTTTAATTTACTAAGCTAATAAGTGGAAAAATGACAACTGGTTATAGCTTTACTTCAATGAGGGCATAGTTCCACAAAGTGCCACTTACTTCCAATTACAGGTTGTTTCACCGGTTCGCTGGGAATGACGTTCGTTTGACCGTTCGGTTTTGGGTTCACAGGAGCCACTGGGACAACTGGGGCCACAGGTTTTGGTGCTGAAAACGTCAATCAGTAAACATACATATACAGATATTGAGGAACAGTAGCCAAGTACATATTGGCATATGTCTTAAATAATCAGACCAAACATGTTTCACTTATGTTTGATTTCACGCCACTAATATCCAACATGATAACAGAAATTATATTTGATATTACAACAAGAGCAGGAGACGGGTTATGCCTGAGCAGTTGTCTGAAATTGAATGTTTCAAATTAAAGCCACCTCCATTAGCAAGATGAAAATTTCGTTTCTACCCCTCAAAGAAAACTATATCTATCACACAACATGCTTACAGCGCGTTAACACCCAAAGGTACCACTGTCACTTACCATTGAGAGAAAAAAACTACGGTGTGGACCTGAAAACATCTCCGACTTCACCATGCCACCCCTGTCTCCTTGGTCTACCAGCCACCTTGCCTTCAACATAAGTCACACGCCAAACTATTTGATCTAACCGATCAATACTACGCTACTAACAAGATAGAAGTCACCATCCACCATCCAACTGATTCGAAGTTCCACTAAACTTCTGTACAACGGCCATGTCGCGGTGTGAAATAGCGGTACCGGTATCGTTATAAATCGCGCTTAACTATCATGTGTGTTTGGAAAATGTTACAAAAACGATTGTGCTGATACGCCTAAGAACCGTGTCGAAATACCGGTAAACATTTCATATAAACGTTAAATAAATTACTTGGGTTGGAATAAATATAAACAAATGTTTGTCAATTACAACTGGTTCATTAGGGATCAAATAGACGGATAATCTCCCAGCGAAATCCACCAAATTTATGTTAATAATATTGTGGATGGGAAAAGCTGTTAATTTTATATATTTGCACGTTACATATTAAGGTATACTGAACATTTAGTGAGTTTAGGGATCAAAGCATTTCGGGAGGCAAAATGACGCAAGGAACGAGGAAAGCTGATGGCAAACAATGAACGACGAGATACAATGAAGGTGTAAGGTTTTAACGTTACCGGAAAAGACAAAACCAACACGTCAGTACATAAACGGGACAAACGAAGGTCCGTTCAAGTTAATTGCGGATAAAAAAAAGCTGTGTTAATTTACACATAACTGACACGATAATAGTTTGGATATATAAATGTATGCGGATTCCAATAACGATTTTTTCTCAATTCTACAAATAAGGTAAGGGGACCTCCTGTGTAGACAAGTCAGTCGGTGGTATCAGTGTAGGTGGATGTGTGGCATACATTTACTAGTACTTCTAAAATCTACCGGAAAAACCCAGGTGATTGTTAACCATGCTGTTAAAACACATATGGGTTCTACGGGTGTATTCTGGGCTACAAAACTACCAAGCAAGCTTATCATTCCATCACCAAATTAGTACAAATGCACACGCAGCTAAATGGTGAAAATTTAATGGGATTTCAAACAGAATCTTCTATGTGTAAATCTATTCGAGAAGCAAATTGTCTTGGAAAGTCATCTAAAGAAAGGTGTACTTGCTGGACCTACGTGTAAGACCAGTGGTCTTCTAGAATATTAACCTCTGACACATTGCCACTGGCAACTTCCTGTCTTCCCAGCAAACACGGAACGTTAATTTATTCTATTTATTTAATTCTATGTTTGTTTTAATTATGTAACTTGTGATATCCTTATCAAAACGTTCTGTGTTTGCTGCATTTATGGGGTTTAAAAAAATCGCCGCGGTTGAAATTGCCAATACACATAATCCCAATGACCAATACTGTAGGTCAAAATACACTCCGTTTCAATTTTGTGTACACGCAATTACTTACCTTCACAAATAATGCTGCAGGGCCTCGTCTCTGATGTGGGATCTGCGCATGCGCCACCCAGACATATCCGGTTTCTTCTCTGTATGCCGTCTCCACAGCTGACGGAGCACTGTCCCCATACACCCCACTGCGTGTACTGAGAGGCTGGGAAGTGGAGAGAGGAAACGTGGTTAACTTCCCCGACAGTTTTTTAACGGTATTCGAAACTGTTCAATGAAATCGCTTAATTTAGGTTCCCATATTTTTTTTATTTCATGACATTGATAATTCTGAAGTTAAAGTGTACTTAATAGTTGTTCTTATTTGACAAACAATCATGCCCAGTCAAAAATGACCGAAATTCTCTCTCTCTCTCTCTCTCTCTCTCTCTCACACACACACACGCACACACGCACACACACATGCATGCACATACACAAACAGGCACACACACACACACACACACACACACAGATAACTTACGACACAGTCCCGCAGAGCAGGTTCTCGTCTGCTTGCCCTCCCCAGGACAGGTAAGGGTGGGGAAAGCACGTGCACAGAATCTCTGTCTCTCCTGGACGCCTTGACCACAGGTCACTGAACACTGACCCCACTCCAGCCAGTTGGCCCAAGACGCAGCTGTTGGGAGGGGAAAAACATGGATTAAAGGCGTTAAATTATTGAAATATTCAGAGATAGTGCCTTCCAGTGCACTTCATAAGACATACAACTTAAACTAAACGAAGGTGTCCCAGGGTAACAGTTGTTTCACATCCCCCTCCTTCTTGAAAATAACTAATCAAGCGCAATGAGACAAAGCCAATATTATTACTATATTTATCTTACTGCTATATTTATTTTAATTATATTTAAGTATACTGGAAGTTATAATACTTCTGTGATTATATTTTCATGCGCCAATTTAAGTTCCCGTCGTGTACGTACTGTCACAGGCAATGAAGCAGTCCCTGGTCTCTCTGTCGACTCCTGGACACTGGGTAGGGTCATTAGAAGGACAGATCCGGGTCCTTTCCTGGACACCCTGACCGCCGCCATTATCACAGGTGGCACTGCACGGACTGTAGGTTGACCACTGCGTCCATACTGGGACTGGAGAGGACAATGGTATTAACATTTAAGCAGGACGTGTTCATTTATAATCAGTACCATACAAAGAGCAATATGTTTCATATTTGCAGCTATGTAATATGATGTCATAAATCATGATGCTTCAGATATGTGCGGGTATAATTGTAAACTCTCCTCCCCCTCCCTCCCTCTCTCTCTCTCTCTCTCTCGACGTCTCTCTCTTTCTCTCTCTCTCTCTCTCTCTCTCTGATAATCTCGCGAGATTCCCCTCACCTTCACAGATAGCCAGCACGCACGCTCTGGTTTCTTTAGTCGGTTCAAAGCAGCGCCCAGTACAGAAGCGGCTGCGTTCCTGCATTCCCTGTCCACATGAACGAGAACAATCACCCCACGGGGTCCAGGGAGAGTACACGTCAGCTGAAAACGATTTTATTTATATATAGATAACTTTATATCTGTGCAACATATTTGATTCCTCGATTTAATGGTACAGATATATATTCACAGTTAGCACAGTACAGTGTACACCTATGTACAAAAGAAAATGCATTCAAGCAGAAAGGGGTATGCATCAAGCAGAACGCATACGAACTGGGATATATGAGATTGAATACAATATACTTTATTAAAACATTAAATAAGGATGAAAGGGTTAGTCAGGTCAGAAAAAATGTGAAGTTATCATANGATGATGTTTGAACTTCTCCGCAAAAGGTTCTTGAATCAAATCATACCAATTCCCTTGGTGTTCCTTGACTTCCGTTGTGAGCAACAAAAAAAAAACGAACTATTGCGTAACACCTGCGACAATGCGTAATACACATCACGTCACTTAATACATGTGTCGCACACAGAGAGCCAGACACCGCAGACATTGCCTAGCATATGCCCCATGAACCGCCAAATCCTGATTACCTTGGCCGTGTGCCTCATATTCAAGTTCTTGAGTTTTAGAAAATCTATATACGCGTGCCAACAACCAGCTACTGCTGATAGCTAGGTTAAAGGTATCCTATAAGCCTAAGAGATTTTACCGCCAAGTCGAATTTCATCAAACTTCAAAAGTTTCACCTACTTTCAGAGCACTTAGACCATCAGAGTAGCCTTGTATATTTCATAAGGACAGCTCGACATCATGGGCTTTTATTTAGGGGGTAAAATCGCTTTTAAGGTCCGAATTTGGGACTTTTAATAAGTGAGTAGCTTTGCCGGATAGGTAGACCTAGAGAATATAAGTTTTGTGATTTTTCAAACGCAGTTAGTATACATTTATCTAGCTATGGCATTGTACACCCACATTGACCACATTTACTCATAGCTGTTATTAATCTTCAAAATCATCGACGGAACCTACCTTTATCTGGACCTTGGCCTTGACCTTCACCTTGACATGGTTTCTGAACACATTCCAGATAGTCCAGGTTTGACCCCAGGCAACCTCCGGGCACTGGGCACGTCCTTGACCTTGTCCTCCGTCCAGTTCCGCAGGACACGGAGCAGTCGCTGGTGAAAGCCCATGCTGACCACTGGACTATCACTGGGGGCGTGACTGGAAATGTGACGTCACAATAATAAAGTTACGTCACAGTTTAATGATCTGATGTTTTTATTTATTTATTACTTAATTTGTTTTGTCACTTATCTACATTCACAAAGCAACAGGAAACGACAGTCTCCGCTCGATCACATGGTAATGCATGTAGCTTCTAGCTGCTGCCAAGACAAAAACATAATTTAATCTTATAATAATTAATTTTTTTAAAAAAACTTATCCAAATGAAGACAAAGGTTGACAATACAAAAATGATCAAGAAGACCAAACTTCAGTTAACCAGTGAAAATTACAACGTTCTGTCCTTTACTTCTGGTTTTCAGAAAATGGCGTTTGAAATTTATAATGTTTCTCCAAGAAAGTCACATACATGTATGACGAGCTTGGTATACTAATACATGTACACATTTCGATCTGTCCTGTTGTCAGAAATGAACAACACTGGGGAATAAAGCAAACTGTCAGCAAACCAACACCGCCAATATCATAGTGGTCTGAAGCAGAATCTATACCTTTCATTCATTAAATTGACCAGTACTTGCAATGTTCTATCCACAGTCAATGCTGACTATAAAGTTTTATTTCCAGAGTCGAGTCCAATATTCGGGTTTATGTTACGGTATTTTGTGAACTGACCCTAGCATGTTGCTCATAACCAATAAAAACCGTGTAGAAAAAAATCAGTAAATCTTTATTTCTTAAAAAATATAGGTGTTATTTTTCATACAGTTGCTTTGGTGTGTCAAGACCGCAATTTTCGACTTATTCAATAGTCTTTTGCATTCCTTTACATGTAAGTCTTACTCTGTGTAATTCAATAACAAGGTTTGAATCATGTTACGGGAAAGTTTCACAGGTTATCAGTCAGCCAAGATAAATTGTCTTCATACAAGTTAGTTTCCCAGCAAATGCCAACTGCCTGTGAAAAATGATCTAATGTAGCGGCTACCTAGAGCTCAACGGCATTTCACTTAGACCCCATTTCCAAAAATTAGATCGATCTACTTTAGATCGACCTAACTCCCTGGGGGTTCACGCTAAACAGCTGTCAGCCGAGCGGATACAAAAGTTAATTACCCCCTTACAGCTTGTAGTAGGCGGGACGGACATTTAAGCCGGATTATCTGACAGTAATCTAGTGAGACTCCCCGCGGGGATAGATCGATCTAAAATCTATGGGAATACAGCCTTACAGATCTCGCCTGATAAGGCCATTATATATCCTACATGCAGGTTAAGCTACAGCTTTCTTTCTTAATATTGAGATTTTTTACAATAATTGCCTTATTACATTACAGCTTGCACGACTAATTGACAGTCCTATAATTATGCTTCACATTGAACGTATGCAGTCAATTATGATTCTTAACATGGTTAAGATAGAAATATCATTATGCGCTGTCTACAGCAACATGCTGACTATGACGTGTGAAAAAAACGACTACACGTAATTGAGTTTTACACTTTAAGATACACGCCGTATGTATAGTTCCTATAAATTAAAACAGCATCTCCAATCTCGGATTTTTCTATTTGCACACACCCGTTGATTAGGGATTAGGGAAGTCTTTAGTTCTTCGTCACTTTCATTAAATTCGACATTTTTTCCATATGAAACTTTATAGTTTAACAATTAAACCAGGATAGAAAGCTCCAAATGTCCTTTAAGTTACAAGAGACAGGTGCGTGGTTTACATGCCGCCGCCGTTACAGCGGTCTCCCCGGCAGAAACACCAAACGTCCACGTAGCTGCTGTAGCGGAGCTGTTTGCCCGAGATACACGACAGGCCGTCAGCTTGGCTCGTTGCTATGGACGCCAGAGCGGGCCAGGCGTCTGCGCAGCCGCGGTACACGTCTGTAACGAGATTTAAAATGTAACTTGGTGAAAAATTTTAAATACACAAGAAGCAAGTTAAAATAAATGAACATACATTGATCATTTATTAGACTTAAATAATGCGTTTAAAAACATACATTAGGCATAGAATAAAACACACGTCCTTCACTGGCACTAGTAATTCTAAGAGCTGTTGCCAAATAAAATGAATCAGAAATTGGTATTTTGTACTCATTAATCAATTTATTTATTTATTTATTAGGATTTTATTATATATTTTTTCTTATATAAAGGTCTACCACTCACTGTATTTATGTAATAAACAAATATACAAAAATACAAATGGTTAGAACTTACAGCCTCCTTTGTCGCGTCTTATGAAGCACGTCTTAGTTTTGGGGCACGGCGTCTTGCCTACCCACCCCGGCTGAGTGATTCCACTAGGCGCGCATACTCCCCAGCCGCTATTGCAGTCGTAACAGTCAGGAGCTGGAATGTGTTAGGTGAGACAGGTTAGGTGTGAAAAGCATTGTGTCCTACATTGGTCTGGTTCCACGAGGACTGTTTGGACCGGGGATCAGGCCAATCTGCGCAATTTAAAGATCGAGGGACTGTCTCACAAATTTTGTAAACTGATCTAAATTTCCAGTTTATTTGAGTAAGAGACAGTCCAGTTCGAAGTGGTAATCCAATTAAATGAAAGATTCCACCTATATACAATCGATGTTTCAAAGCAATAGTTTCTGTTTCTGCTCAGATAATTATTATGTTTTATTTTTAACTGTAGTAGACTAAATTTTAAGCTATTTTTTCACAAATTTTCAGACTTACATTTTGGTTTTTATTTATTTATTTATTTATTTATTTATTTNACGTTTTTTTTTTTTTTTTTTTATTTTTTTTTTTTTTTTTTTTTTTTTTTTTTTTGTTTGTTTGTTTGTTTAACCGACCCGAGCTAGAAAAGCCATTGCCTCAGATTTACTCAAACATGTCTTCCTTATGTAGCTTTACTAAGCTAAACTGTGGACTGAATAACAACTGTTAATCGGTTTACTTCAAAGAGTCCATAGTTCCAAATACTACCACTTACTTCCCATCACGGGTTGTTTCACTGGTTCGCTAGGGATAACGTTTGTTTGTCCGTTCGGTTTTGGGTTCACCGGAGCCACTGGGACAACTGGGACAACAGGTTTTGGTGCTGAAAACGTCAATCAGTAACCATACATATACAGATATTGAGGAACAGTAGCCAAGTATATATTGGCATATGTCTTAAATAATCAGACTAAACATGTTTTACTTATGTTTGATTTCACGCCACTAATATCCAACATGATAACAGAAATGATATATGATATTACAACAAGAGCAGGAGACGGATTATGCCTGAGCAGCTTTGTCTGAAATTGAATGTTTAAAATTAAAGCCACCTTCAATATCAAAATAAATGTTTCGTGTCTACCCCTCAAAGAAAACTATATCTATCACACAACATGCTTACAGCGCGTTAACACCCAAAGGTACCACTGTCACTTACCATTGAGAGAAAAAAAACTACGGTGTGGACCTGAAAACATCTCTGACGTCACCATGCCGCCCCCGTCTCCCTGGTCTACCAGCCACCTTGCCTTCAACATGAGTCACACTCCAAACTACTTGGTCTAACTGATCAACACTACGCTACTAACAAGATAGAAATCACCATCCACCATTGTACTGATTCCAAGTTCCACCGTATACTTCCGTACAACGGTCATGTCGCGACGTGAAATAGCGGTTGCGTAATAAATCGCGTTAACTGTCATGTGAGTTTGGGAAAACGTTGCGAAAACGATTGTGCTGATACGCCTAAGAACCGTGTCGAATTATCGGTTAACATTTATATAAACGTTAAATAAATTACTTGGGTTGGAATAAATATAAACAAAGGATTCTCAATTACACCTGGTTCATTAGTGATCAAATAGACGGATAATCTCCCAGCGATTTCCACCAACTTCATATTAATTGTGGAGAGGAAAAGCTGTGTTAATTTGGTATATATGCACGTTACATATTTCGGTATACTGAACATTTAGTGAGTCTAGGGGATAAAGTGCTTAGGGAGGTGAAATGACGCAAGAAACGAGGAAAGCTGATGGCAAACAATGAACGACGAGATACAATGAAGGTGTAAGGTTTTAACATAACCGGAAAGGACAAAATCAACACGTCATTACATAAACTGGACAAACGAAGGTCTATTCAAGTTAATTGTGGAGGAAAAACAGCTGTGTTAATTAACACACAAATGACACGATAATGGTGCGGATATATTAATGTATGCGGATTCCAACAACGATTAATTTTGCTCAATTCTAGGACTAAACCAAGGCGACCCACAGTGTAGCCAAGTCAGTCGGCGTTATCAGTGTAGGTGGATGTGTGACATATATTTACTTCTATTATCTACGGAAAAACCCAGATGATTGTAACCATGCTGTTAAAAGACATACATGTATGGGTTCTACAGGTGTTTTCCGTCTAAAAAAAAAAACTACCAAGCAAGCGTACCATTCCATCACCAAATTAGTACAAAAGTACAAGTAATTAAAGGGTGAAAAAGTAATGGGAATTAAAACCAAATCTTCTAAATCTATTCCAGCAATCTGCAAATTTTCTTGGAAAGTCATCTAAAGCAGGCCAGTCTTGCTGGAACTACGTGTAAGTCCAGTTATCTTCTAGAATATAAACATCCGACACATTGTCTCTGGCAACCTTCTATCAGCCCAGCAAACACCGGGCGTTTATTTATTTTATTTATTTAATTTGTGTTTGTTTTATGCAACCATATGATAACGTTATCAAAACGTTCTGTGTTTGCTGCTTTTATGGGGTTTTAAGAAAACCACCGCGGTAGAAATTGCCAATAAACATTCTCCCAATGACCAATATGTCAAAATACGTGCTGTTTCAATTTTGTGGAGTCGCAATTACTTACCTTCACAAATAATGCTGCAGGCCCTCGTCTCTGTTGTAGGATCTGCGCATGCGCCCCCTAGACATATCCGGTTTCTTCTCTGTATGCCGTCCCCACAAGTGACGGAGCACTGTCCCCAAACACCCCACTGCGTGTACTGAGAGGCTGGGAAGTGGAAACAAGAAACGTGGTTAACTTGTCTGACAGTTTATTCATGTGTACTTAATGGTTGTTCTTATTTGACAAACAATCATGCCTAGTCAAAAATGACCAACATTCTCTCTCTCTCTCTCTCTCTCTCTCTCTCTCTCTCTCTCTCTTTCGTATTCACACGCACACACACCACACTAACACACAAATGCATTCACGCACACAAAAACGCACACACACCAGAGATAACTTACGACACAGTCCGGCAGAGCAGGTTCTCGTTTGTTTGTCATCCCCAGGACAGGTGAGGGTGGGGAAAGCACGTGCACAGAATCTCTTTCTCTCCTGGATGCCCTGACCACAGGTAACTGAACACTGACCCCACTCCAGCCAGTTGGCCCACGACGCAGCTGTGGGGAGGGAAAAAACATGGGTTAAAGGCGTTTTAAATATTCAAATATGCCGACGATCGTGTATGCACTAGGGGATGCAACTATAATTTAACAAAGGTGTCAGAGCGTCCCGGTATTTCACGCCCCTCTCTTCATTACTTTCAGAGACTCGAACTTCTCCATTCTTCTTGAAATAGTTAATCAAGCAAAACGAGACAAAACCAAGTAGTTTTTGTATCCTAGTGTTTCTGTCAAAAATAAAAAACAAAAGGTGATATTTTAATATAAAAGTATTTGCTAAATTTATGCTATTGTTGCATTTATATTTTTTTCAGAATATTGGAAGTTATGATACATTTGCAGTGGCGGATTTAGAAGGGGGTGTCCTGACCCCGCCCCCACCCCTTTAGATTCTGAAAAAAAATAACACTGATATTCCCTTCTTGGAATTAGAATTTTGACTAGCTGATATTAAGCCCCAAATGGCACTGTTTGCCCTCCAAAACACTATGAGGGGGCTTCACATCCGAGGCCTGTCATTCCTGAAAAACCGCCCCTCCCCTTCAAATAATCCTGGGTCCGCCCCTGATTTGTAATGGCTTATGAGCCGATAAAAGATTCAATCCCGCCGTGTACTTACTGTCACAGGCAATGAAGCAGTCCCTGGTCTCTCTGCCGACTCCTGGACACTGGGTGAGGTCATTGGAAGTACAGAACCGGGTCCTCTCCTGGACACCCTGACCGCCGCCATTCTCACAGGTGGCGCTGCACGGACTGTAGGTTGACCACTGCGTCCATTCTGGCACTGGAGTGGACGCTGGAATTAGTTTATGATGCCATGTGAAAAGGGTATGTTTAACTTTTCATGTAGTAATCAGCACCGAACAATTTTGGTTGGTTCTACGGGTAATTGATTTGATGTCACTAATTATGTTGTTTCAAATATGATGTGTACGGGTAAATGATATTTACGTGCATCTTATATATGAATTATTCTCTCTCTCTCTCTCTCTCTCTCTCTCTCTCTCTCTCTCTCACACACACACACACACACACACACACACACACACAAACGCACACACACAGATAACTTACGACACAGTCCGGCGGAACAGGTTCTCGTTTCTTTGTCCTCCCCAGGACAGGTGAGGGTCGGGAAAGCACGTGCACAGAATCTCTGTCTCTCCTGGACGCCTTGACCACAGGTCACTGAACACTGACCCCATTCCAGCCAGTTGGCCCACGACGCAGCTGTAGGGAGGAGAATATATCGATTAAAGGCTTTTAAAATATTGAAATATACAGAGAATATTGCCTTCCAGTAGCTGCATAGGACATGCAACTTAAAGTAAACAAAGGTGTCCACGAGTAGGCTAACAGTTGCTTCACACACCCCTCCTTCACTAGCTTTGAAGATTCCTTTCCAACCTTCTTGAAAATACATTAGCTGTAGCTAATCAAGCATTATAAGCCAAAGCCAAGTAATCTTTGTATCCCAGTATTTCTGGCAAGTACAACGACAAAAATTAATATACTAATATTACGATATATCTACTGAGATAATTTTATTGATGTAATTTTTAAACCAGTATACTTTTTCATGAGCCAATAAAAGTCACAGCCCCGCCATGTACTTACTGTCACAGGCAATGAAGCAGTCCCTGGTCTCTTTACCAACTCCTGGACACTGTGTGGGGTCATTAGACGGACAGATCCGGGTCCTTTCCTGGACACCCTGACCGCCGCCATTGTCACAGGTGGCGCTGCACGGACTGTAGGTTGACCACTGTGTCCATACAGGGACTGGAGTGGACAATGGAATTAATATTTAAGCAAGACGTGTTCATTTATAATCAGTACCATACAAAGAGCAATATGTTTTATATTTGCAGCTTTGTAATATGATTTCATTATTTATGATGCCTCAGATATGTGCGGGTATATTTGTAACTCATTCTCTTCCCTCCCCCTCCCTCCCTCTCTCTCTCTCTCTCTCCCTCTCTCTCTTTCTCCCTCTATGATAATCTCGCGAGATTTCCCCTCACCTTCACAGATAGCCAGCACGCACTCTCGGGTTTCTTTAGTCGGTTCAAAGCAGCGTCCAGTACAGAAGCGGCTGCGTTCCTGCATTCCCTGTCCACATGAGCGAGAACAATCACCCCACGGCGTCCAGGGAGAGTAAATGTCAGCTGAAAACGATTTATTTTATATATAAACAACTTTATATTTATGCAGCAAATTTGATTCCTAGATTTGATGGTACATGTACCGGTATATATTCACAGTTAGTACAGTACAGTGTACACCTATGTACAAAAGAAAATGCCTTCAAGCAGAAAGGGGTATGCATCAAGCAGCACGCATAATAATTGGGTGATATGGGATTGAATACAATATGGCATATACTTTATTATAATATCAAATAAGGATGAAAGGGTTAGTCAGGTCAGAAAAAATGTTAAATCATCATATTATCCAACTGTATCAACAGCTTGCAGTGAAAACGCTACTTAAGGTATTTTTTTCGATGCAGTTGCTACCAGGTGCAAGAACGCAACTGATGGGTAGAACAACACAATTGATGCAGTGTGGTTCTAAGTGGAATTACGTACGACAATCTCCGGCATAACACTGCATCTGTTCAACAGCAGACCCCATGGGGCAAGCGCCATCTATCGAGCATTTTCGCTGCCGGAAGTGCATACCAACGCCGCAGGTTGCCGAGCAGGGAGAATACGTTGACCAGGGCCCCCATAGGAGAGCTGGAAAGGTGTCGGGGTGAGAGCAAGGCAAACACAGGTGACAGGGACACAGTGCGTAGTAGACCTTTTGAAGCTTTTACTTTTTTTTTCAATTTGAAGTTTGAGACATGGTGAATTTCACAGAGAGAATTAGAAATTAGAGAAATTAAAAAAAAGTTTCTGTTTAACAATTTGCACCACGCATATGGGTGTGGTATCAGCGAATAAAGATTTACACCTGGATTTTCCTCGATTCACTTTTTTTTTGCTATATTTTAGTATAGGTCTACCGCGCACCGTCTTTCCCAGATATGATATAGCAGGTTTTGTTAGGTGTGTAGGACTATATTTAGGAAAAGAGAATTTAGTCCGAGTTATTTTCCTCTCACATCAGCCATTTTGGTCCTTTTAAGTCCAGTATTTTAGTGACAATTTTTTAAAATATATTTTGGAGACAGATGCTGTTTTTGGTCAAATAGTCACTTTCTCCTGTCCCAAACTCCCCCTCCTTATTTATGTCCGATAGACAAAAAAACTTTTATAAGAAGAAAACGTTAATATCTGATTGTCCTATTGTAGTACATTTAAGTACACCTACTGTACATATGCAGTAACTATAGCAGCAATAAACATGGCTGATTAGGAAAGAAAAATTCGGAACTGCTGTTAATAAAACCCGCATCCTTTCAGAGCACATTGACCAAGTTCAGTTTAAAAAAATATAAAGGTGTATAGATTATAAAATGGTTAAAAAACAGTGAACAGTGTTGCGCAAAAATACGTAGCCTACTAACAAATAACAACATGTTGCAAACATTTCTTTTTTTTTTTCAACCACATCAGTCTTAATCGCTAAAGGTGTGAGAGGACTCCCCATTTTCGTGTCACTATTTTTTTTTAATTGGCTACGGCTTTTCCCTATCCCACCATTAAAGGATTACTTTCTATAAGCAAAATGTAGTGCACATTACTAGTATAACAAATGCACCCATTGATAGTTATAAAATGGGCAAGTGTAAGATAAATGATTAACTTTTCGCCAAACCTATATGTATTTGTAATTTCCCCGATGATAGCTTTTTACCTTTTGAATTTAAACTGATTAAACTATTTGACTACATACGACATTCTCCTGCATCACACTGCTGTTCTTCCTCCGCGGCTCCTCCTACACAACTGCCCTCTATCGGACAAGTTCGTTTTCTCGTCTGCACACCTGCCCCGCAGCTAGACGAACAAGCAGTAAATGGCCCCCACTCGCCCCAGAAAACCGCTAAAATATTAAGTTGTTACAATCTACGTAGCTTAATATATATATCCTAGTTTTATTTTTATGATTAAAAAGTATCTATTAAAACAATTTTCTACCTGGCAGCTTTCTATATGTAAGCATCTATATGTAAGTAATGTTATGTTTCATTTAGTTATTTTGTAGTCCAATTTTTATAGTTTCTTCCATTATACTATAGTATCGCTTATTAGTTGTTTAATAATAATTCTTTACTGGCATATTTCTTAATGTACATTATTACTTTAAATAAAATCATTGCAGTGATACATGAAATGAACGATAAGTAGGCCTAGGTTCTGTCCCAATTCAAACAATGTATAATACATTGTTTTCCAAAAGCAAAGCATAGGGGGCCTATTAATTTGCATATAACATGGATCATAAATTATAAAGTGATCTTTAATTTTGTCAAATACGTACGACACGGTCCAGCGTCACACGTCCTCTCCTCCCGTGCCGCACCCCCTATACAAGCGCCATCTATCGGGCAAGTTCGAGATCTGAAGATGACCCCGCTACCGCAAGTTGCTGAGCAACTCGAAAATGGCGACCACTGGTTCCAATTCACAGCTGAAAATTGAAAAATTCTTTAAGTATTACATTCTTAAATGAAATGTATTTGCGAAACTCGGTGAGAAGTGATAACTTGTATCTTGATGCTTGTAACTTAATTTAATGTTTGAGTTTAATGAAACAATTAGCTTGTAATCCTTCATGGAAATGTAACATTGTAAAACATATGAGTTTGTATATTCATATACAAACAACATTGGATTGCAATTAATTTGTTTTATAATTTTTCGGAAACCTCGGGAATCATAATTAAAAAAATGATTGTGTTACGTACGACAGGCGCCAGCATCGCATGGAATCGTCTCTCTTGCCTCGCCCCCTATACAAGCGCCATCTAGCGGGCAGTTTCTACTCCTGTATCGGGTCCCAGTGCCGCAGGTAGCAGAACAGGGTGAAAATGACGACCACGGGTTCCAGTTCACGGCTAGAAAATCAAAGGTATATATAATACTGAGTGTTGTTTGATATGTTCAGGAGTGAAAAGAACACCCCAAAGCCATTTATCCGCAAACAATAACGTCGACTTTAAGTTCAAAGGTCAAATTCGTTGTGAAATGCATGCAGTTTCAATCAGAATCATTCAGTTGTTATTCGCAACGGGTGGTGAATGTAATCTTAGACCGATATTTGTGGTTGTAATAAAACCACGTAAAATAGTTCATGTTAAAATCCCTAAAGCAAAAACCAAGTATTTTTGATGAGCATGTAATGTCAACTGAGATCCCTCTATTTAGAAGTTTTATATCCACTATACAAGCATAAAGGTATAAATATCAATGCTTTTAGTTTACTAGAAAAATCAAAACAAGCATCATTTTCTAAACTACAGTTGTAGGATCACTAAACTGCTACCCGCCAACTACGTACGACATGCTCCTGCATCGCAGGGAGTTTCTTCTGTGGCCGCGCCCTCTACACAAGCGCCATCTACAGTGCAAACACGTGACCTGGACTGCACGCCGCTACCACAGGATACAGAACAACTGGTATAAGACGACCACTCACCCCACGTGGCTTCTAAAATCAACCAGTGTGTTCTAAGTTAAGTCTAAAATTCATTCTACCCCAACTGTTAGTTACTACTGGAATCCAATCTCGGTCCGGGTCTAAAAAAATTATACTAAACAAACCCAAACTCTATAATTTCCAAACTAAACTATTTTTGGTACTATGCTATATTTACTAAACTATATTTTATACTATGTTACACTGTATGAGTTAAACACTTGTAAAACCATACAGCAGATCTCCCATTATTATTTGCATAGCTATCTTTATAAAACTAATGCCTGTTTCGCTACATATAACGAAATCAAATACTGGTAGTTATATGAAAACAAAGAAGAGAAAACTTGCACCGAAAATTTTGAAATAAGTTTTAAAATTGTTAATTACAGGAATTCTGTGCCTTAAATATTGTATCCAATACCTCTTTGACACGGACTATGGCCAAACTTAGATATTGGGTAAGTTAATCAATGTTAATCTGACATACTATATAGACCACAGTATGTAAGCTGAAACAAATTAAGTCTGCGTCTTATTAAGATAATGTGGCCTTATGTCCCACACGGGACGAAGAGCACTGATGATGATGATGATGATTAAGATAACAATAATAATAATAATAATAATAATAATAATAATGGTGGTGTTGACGAGGATGATGATGGTGAGTTCACACTTACTAACAATGGTGGGACAGTCTAATAGCGTGCACTGTCTGGTTTCCGTGGCGAGGCCAGCACAGCCGAAGGGACTGTTGCACTCTCTGGTCCTGTCCTGCATCCCGTACCCACATGTGGCCGTGCAGGGCCCCCATACTGACCATGGACCGTAGTTTAACTCTCCTGGAAGAGATTTTACCTTTTAATTTGTAAACAATTGTGATTGCTATGGAATGTGTTATTTAAAATAATAATAATAATAATAATAATAATAATACCAACAGTATACGATGCTATATGATAAAATAAAGCTATACAGTGCATACTCAGTGTGCTAGCAGTTATACATCTGTAGGATGTTGCGAAAGGGACTGGATTCACACAAATATTTAATTAATTAATTATTTCCTCATTTTTAATTCCCTCATCAATTTATGTATTTATTCTTTTTTGTCAATAGCATGCACAGTTGGTATCTTCCGTAATTTGGCTGATAAATGTGCCCTGCTGTCTTTGCTGAAAGTCATGTAATATGGCACTGACTTCAAGTCCTACAATGAGTTTTCCAGTGTAAATGTATCTGTTTATCTGGTTCTTCGTTACTCCATTCATGTATCTTTCAATATTCATTATAATCACAAAGAATCAAAATATTTTAAAAGTTGTTTAAGTTTTTATTTTGTCTTTTTGTTCATAGTTTTGCTTAACCATGTATTTGACACTATCTTTGACTACAATCTTCTGAAATAATACTGCAGCAGACTATATGAGCCAGTCAAGTCCGTATATCATAATATCTAGAATACCAAAAACCATTAAAACGATATTCAAGGGGATATAACCGTATGGCTGAATATATTAGCATCATAAGCATGATAAAAGACCTCCGCCACCTTATCGTGTCCAACCCCCATAAAACGCCCCGACCTTGATAACATCGGGAGCATCAACACGGTATTCTGACATCACAGGATGTGATACGTCAGTTTAACGGGAGCACGGCGATTTAGACTTGCTCCTTTGGCCCCTAAATTGTAACACATTGTGCTTAGAATGCGTCCTCTTACAAAACTATCCCATTGTATTCAGTATAACAAAGTTGTTTTGCAGGACAGCATGTTCAGCTCAGTTCAGACAAGCGTAGGTGTACCCGGAAATGGGGACAACTCGCGTTATCGGACAATCCAACCACAGTGGCATTATTATATTTCAATAACAGAAGCCGAGAAACGTAATCGTAGAAATTGTCTTGGCAAATGATTAAATATGGATTTGAAGAGCCTTACGGAGCTTGATTTTCACCAAGTGCCAATATGGTCCACAAGGACTCGCTTTTACCATCAGTGTTACAATTATAAACGAGCCTTACATCCTATTGCGCAAGATTTAACTTGTAGGTAGGCGGAAAGTTGTAAAAAGGCAGACATTTCGTCAACAATACCATGAGTTGGTGTGATTAAGGGTATGGACAATTAGCAAATGCTCTATGTGTCAGTTTCAAAATAGACATAGAAAGTTCAGATGTTGATACTGATCTAGTCGAATTATAGAGACAAACGGTTTTATTATTAATTGGTGACCAATATCATGAAACAAAATCAGTTGAATTTGTAATGACACATTCAAAGTACACGGTCCAGATGATGAATAATGATTGTTATGGCGGGGTGATAGGGAATGTGTCATGGAAATAACTGGAGGTGCTGTGCCTATAAAACAGACCACTTTTCTTTAAACCTTTCTCTTCAGTCCAAATGACAGAATGCCAGTTTACTAAATATCCAATCTCCGTGTACTAAACAAAGACTGGCATTCATGTATTTCGTATTTGTTATTTCCTCAAAGTCTTTTAGAAGCATTATTAAAACTACCACTTCTTACACTACCCCATTGTGTAACACACCACTTCAGCAATGAAGTCTCGCCCCAATCTGTTTTATTTATAACAGACCAGTTTGTCACCAATTTCCTCGGTGACAGGGTCATTTATCTTCCTTAATATGCGACGTGCGGGTTGGGAGAGTTAAAAGAGGTAAGAACCTGTGCTTGCCGGGACAGCTGGCCTCTTATGTAATCTGTACTGTGAGGGTTTTGAAAGATTGCCTGGTGCAGGCTATGGTACACTACATTCATTTTTTTTTATTAAGTGGTTTTCAAGGTTAGATAGAGAAAAGGTGTTAGGTTTTTTTTTCCTTTTGTTTATTCTCCTTAACAATTACTTATTAGCTTAGATGAAATATATTACAGGAACGCATTTTGAAAACACCCCTAACCGCATATTGGAGGTTTTACCCGTTTTAGATTCTAAAAACAACTTTTAAATAGTTCACTACAACATGTTCACCACAATATGACATTTCAGCATATTTCATTTTTAAGAGCATTATTAATAAACATTTTGAGTAATAATTGTTATCTAATAGTCTAATAAACAACTGCATATTGTGTGCTCAAATTACGCAAAAAAAAATGTTCCATAGCCTCTCTACTTACCGCAGTTTACCAGGTTACAGCTTCTAATCTCGTTCGGAGTTCCGGCACACACGGCGTTACCCGGACATACCCGAGTCCTCTGCTCGATGCCGGGACCACACGAAGCTGAACACGTGGACCACGGGCCCCAGGGTCCGTACTCTGAAAGTGGGCGTGGCGTATGTTAATGACATTTCAACGAAATATAAAGGCAAAATATGAGCGCCAGATCTTTATATAGCAAAATCACATTTCTCTGAAAATATTTGATGGGGTAAAATCTGGTTTTAAAAGAAAAGTTGCTAAAATACCAGTATTTTTTATTATTGTTATAAAAAGGTCCAACGCCTATTGTATGCTCATAAATACAAAATCAGTGTTATGCTATCTTTCAAGAAACATTGCCATCGTTAAATCAATGTTAAATCAGTCTGTCTGCCTATTCTGAGTGTAAAGTTACAGATTATCAAATACTCATCAGATAATCAAACACATTGCAGCCAAGATGTAAATCAAAATGCTGACTTGGTCATTGTGGATCAAGCTCCATAAACATTGCATGTAAATTGTTAATACAAAAACCTTCTCCATTGCCTTCAAAAAGCATTGTCAGCCAACAAACTGCACCAACTGAGATATATGTTTACACATAGGCATATACAAATTGGCAAATAAGCGGTATATATAGAAAATAATAATTCGTCTTCATCAGTTTTTGTCATACCTAACATTTTGTGCATTTTTTAAAAATTGTTATTGCAGTTTAAATTATACTTTTGTAGTAAATTTAGTACTGCAAAGGCATTCTTTAATGAATAAATAAATGAAATAATTTGAGAGGGATGCTGGGAGTACACATATTTGTTTCAAGTCTTACAGGTGTTTGATAAATATGAATGTACACAGAAACACGGCTATGATAAACGAACTTCATGACATCTGTCGTTAGCCATGTTTGTTAACAGGAATATAGATGGCATTGTGAATGTATAGTTCCCAACGCCCGGTGTAAAACACCGTATTACATAGAAAAACAAGACAGATCTCCTGGGGCGCAGACCTTAGCCAAGGCAAGATATAAGAGCAAACAACGTAGTATTCCTTAAACGTTAGCCATATACCTACTTATTTAATGAGAAAAAGAAATTAATCGGCTGCCGCTGCATTGCAGGCAACCTTCTCCAAGGACACTCTCTCGGTGACTCACAAGACATATTATGGCTATACCCTGTATATATCGTTACCGTGACTAAATAAATGGTGGTTTTGCACAAGTGTAAATGCTTCATTAAAAAACACCTTGTTATCCGACCATGTGCCCTCTTTGGCCACACCGGGCAGCAGCCATTTGACCGGAGCTGCTTCATGGCGAGTGATGGAATGAATGAATGAATAAATGGATGAATTAACAAGAGGGTGCGATGAGAGCTCAGACTTCCGCCAAGGGCCAACACATTTTTTTCCAATTTTGTTGAAATCGTGGTCACTTCTTTCCCCCCCGAATGACTGTCTTAGGGATAAACCGTGCTTTTTTTCTACATTAGCACATGCAGTACACAGATCAAAGGGTCTAATATTACACACACATTCAAAATATTTTGCCAAAACAAGCGTGTCTGGTCAGTTAAAAATGACTTGTCTAAGATATGATGTCTAATAGATCATATTCCTCTTCATAAAAAAGCTGACTTGCAGTTATGAAAGGTCATCGAGATATTTGTATGTCAAAATAAAGAGTTGTCACCATAACACAATGTGTATCTGTAATATACGAACATTAGATGCAGCAAAAAAGCATATATAGCAGCAGAAGGGTCCTACACAAACGGCTCATTGCCTCAGTTAGAAACAAAATAGACAGCTCAAAGTTCGTGATTTGAGGGAGGCGGATCCAGGTACCACAGTGGTTGACATGCCCCCCCCCCCCTTGAGGGAGGCGGATCCAGGTACCACAGTGGTTGACATCCCCCCCCCCCCAACTCCAATCCTTTAGCTTCGAGGGTGTGCCCTTCAATTGGACGAAATATAATGCTACAGACAACCGGACCAAAACCTTTTACCATCAACTTGCCGTGAATATATATTCTGTTTTATAATTCTATCATTGCCCTCCTCCCCTTTCCTGGATCTCAGGCCTTGATCCGCAAGTGTATAAACGGTGTCATTCCAACAGTTTTTTTTTTTATTTCATTCATGAAGCCGCATTCTTTCTGAGTGACACAGACACACACACACAGGTGAAATCAAGATTCAGATATTCCTCAAGAATATTACCCAAATATGTTAAAATAATGTAATTTACTGACTTCTGACATATCTTGAAAGTAAGTGCCGTACACACCGACCGTGTAAAGATCTTCCAAACAGAACCCTCACCACAAAACTGTCGATTTCAATCTAGAATATGTTTTATGTGTCAGACAAATGAGGCCGACATCTCTTCTTTAAACCTGCACCTTCCAAAACGTGATCTAAACCAGGTTAAGACCAGGTAACACCCAGATTAGAATCTTTTGAAATTCCACTTCCTTTCTATATCTTGTATATCTTAACTTGAGGCTAAGCTAAAACCTGGCAAATTTCAGATTAAAATACTGGATTAAACACAGTTCCATGGTATTTAGTTCATAATCTGTCTCATCCCACTTTACATGACTAATCTATATCATAGGTAAAACTTTTCAACCGGAACAGTTTGATCTAAAATAGGAATCGACCTAGCCCAGGTAAAATTGTATTTTGTTACCCATCCTTAAGATAGGGTGATATTGACATCATACATAGGCTTGCTGATCATGACACATAATTATATATAATTTATAATAGCGATATCATATCGTCTACATACCTGGTAAAAATGATATAATAACAAAAGTGGAGTTCTGAGTCAGCTTTAATTAAATCAAAGCAGGAGTGGTTATACTCGAGGATTATTCGAGAATATTGGATTACAACATACTTTGATCTTGTCGGCGGTTTTGCAAAAAGCTCATCTAAGTCGTAAGCTAGTCTGACTGTCATTCAAACGGAATTTTTCTCATTTTAACTAGAACTACATGTAGTACTGCAAACTTATTTCTGACTTCCTAACATTCTTTCTTCCTTTCTTTATTTATTTGTCGTAAATCAGCCTAGAAACCTACTCCCCATTTATTTATTTATTTATTTATTTATTTATTTAATTATTTATCGTAATTTAACCTACAGACCTACTCCCCCGCACTGCCCGGCGTAACACGACCTCCCCTCCACTGTCTGGCCGTCACAGAGGCCCTCTCCAACACATTCTCTCTCCCTGATCTGTAGACCGTTACCACAGGAGGAAGAACAGGCGCCCCACTCGCTCCACGGCCCCAGGGACGCCGCCAGAGCCACTTTAAGACATACAGTTAACGTCAAGTACGTTAATACAAGACGCATGGTGGTTCTGTTGTCTAGCAAACCGTGAACTTTGGAGCTTTGGCGTAAAGGCGCTGTTTAGCACGAAAGTGCAATGAAATTCTCAAGAAATCTGGCGAAATCCCGTCAAGAATAGACAACTGGCTCTTTGTTTCCTCTGATAAAAGCTTATGCCAATGTTTATGCTACTCCGGTACTGTTATCCAAATGAAAAGGCGGAATATGTATCAGACGGAGTAATCTTTTTCCTACTTTTAATGATGACACAGGTGGTACTGTCGCCGTCCAGTATAAACGCGACCTTTCTTTTTAGTGAAATAATTTATATTCCTTGTCCAATATAAGATATGCAGTGCACTGGAACAAAATAAGATATATCCACCGTTTTTCCTCTGTGCCTTATTTTCGCTTTTCTTCGTTTTGTAATGTTTTGCGCCGTGGATAAATTGACAAATGATTCTCTGAACTCAGTCACGTTTTGTCGCGGCACGCTCGGGTGTCACCTCGCCCGCTGTCGTCTTTGTTCTAAACAGGTCCCGTCACACCGGGGCTATATCCGTGACTGAGGCGGGGTCACAGGGACGGTCACCATGGACGACAATAACAATATGTCTTCCCACTCCGTCCCGACACCTGAGTGTTCCTCAAAGTCCCAATTATTCATCTTGACAAATACAAAACGAGGTTGACACGAAGGACAAAATGATTCATATGCTTGGTAAGCCATTACTCCACACACACTTATATTAGTTGGGTAATAGTGCAGGCGGTATGTTTGCTTTTTTAGGGTGAGGCATTTTACGCAATATTTGTCAGAGAGAAAGAACGAAGTGTGATCACTGGTGCAAAGAGCCAAAATACCCGAAGCAACTGCTTTTTTTTCAAAAAAAAAAAAACAAAAAAAAACAACTTCCATTATAAATCTTACTGGATATAATTATTTAAAGAGGACAGGATAAGAGACTATTAGCTCTTCTATAATCCTACAAAATTAGATGCCAACTTATTCATCTTTATAACTGGCGGGCGGACACTGAAGTGTTATTTAAAGAAAAGATAATAAGTACTAAATGTCAAAATGGCGATTAAAATAATTTAATTTGGTAAATGAAAAATAGATTAAAGCCATAACGCTAGGAGTAAGCATTATTTACTAGCCGTTGGACCAGTGGCGTTACTTGAGTAGAAGCAGGTAAAAAGGGAATTTGAATGGCGGCCAACCCCTCCCCCTTTCACATATCTTGAACTTGTAGGATCAATTCTATCTCGGTCACACCACACACGGCACTGGTTAAAGAGGAATCATAACTGGTGGAATCTTACCTTACCGCAGCTACAGACACTCCCGCCATGGCGGCAAAAATTGGGGCAGATAAGATTGATTAAGACATGATGATGTTATGACCAATTGTGTCTGATATTGATGTCCACATTGTCGTCGTATTACTGGTACCTGCGAACCCCATTTATGACGCAATTTGGGTTGTATTCTCCTCAGGTAGACGAGAATGTTTCAGGATTGAACAGATCCGTAAAATCCATTCGTAAATTTCAAAGCCAGCAATTATCAGATTCTAACTAAGCCCTAAAATTGTGCAATCCAACTGATATGAGTTGTAATAAATATGTATCATTATTATTCTAAGGCTATAGTATGTCTGAAGCACGTTAACTTTCAGGGTTGTCACCTTTCATGTCTGACTATATATGCATTGTGAAATCATCACATCTTTGTCCTCAGTCGTAATTTTTAACTTACGTGATTCACGACGTTACTTTGCAGAAGCAGATATTATATTATATTATATTATATTATATTATATTATATTATATTATATTATATTATATTACGCAAATCACAACATTAAAAGCGAGGAGCTGTTAACTGCATGTTCACCTTCCTTCGAGAAAACGCCACAGGTCACAAAAATAATATAAAGTCAATAGGAAATAACAAACAAACAAACAAACAAACAAAGAGACAAAGGGGGTGAAAACATTTGGCGCGGTGCATATAATGACTTTTTAAGTTTCGGTAGATGTAGATGTAGTATTAGTAAAGAAAACTTCACAAGGTCACGAAATGTTAAACCACAGCAAACGCAATGTAACCAGTTCACAATTGTTTTCTGTCATTTCAGATCGAAATACCAAAATGACAAAAAAGTAAAATTGAAAGGAATACAAGCAATACATAATATGCCGCATGTAGACCACTTTAGTGAGCCCAAGTATCAAGGAATACGAGTAACATAAAACCCTGAGAGCTATGGTGAATTTCAGTTCCGTCCATATTTCATGACATAGCCAAATATAACATTCTTTTATCTCACAAAGAATACCGCATACATTTACCCTACCAAATCTTCTCTTGGAATTTTACGTTAATAAGACCCAATTCACCATTTCAAACCACTCGCTTTTTTCCATTTACCTGCTTTTAATGCACCAACGAACAATATATAAGCTGACATCGACGCACTCGCTTGGACCTAATTTATAAGACCAAAAAGAAGACACCAAACTGTCTCCATAACGAAGAAGAATAAATATCAAGGTAAGTTACCAGAATGTCACATACAAAAATGCCCAAGTTAAAGTATAAATACATAAGCTAGACAAGACCAGCACAGAAGCATGCTATATGGTGCGAAACATGGACACGTGACCAGTGTTCTCACCAACAGGCTTTGGCCTTGGGGTTGTCTTGGGTTCGTGCACGTGCACCTCAACGATTGGTCGGGAGGATAGCTTACGATAGATTGTGGCAAACTCCTCCACGAACGTTGCGCTGATGACAAAATAGAATAGAAAAATATTTTGATCTTAAATAATTAAATCTTAAATAAAATGTGAGATACTTCACATATCAGGCCATCTCACCAAGTGCAATTATCACATAACAATGTCGGGTGCCTGTCTTTCGAACTGGATTTGGAATGTAAGCTGCGAAGGCCCTGTTGTCGATTTTCGATTCTATGAACGATGGAATTTTTTAATGCAAGCACCGGTGGTGGTGGTGGTACCACGCTGCAAATGCTGCACGTTCCCTTTAATCGACCACAACAAGAATACGAGTTGTATTAGAAATTGCTTTCGCAGAAAAAATTTCCAAGTCTACCCTGGAGTCACGTTTATCAAATTTTTGAGAGTTTTATTCATTTTATGCAAAACAAACTACTAAAATCGGTTTTGATTTTTGGGTATAAATCATCATTTATAATGATAAGAAATTAACCCCTGCGTAGACTATGATTCCGCCAGGGAACCGTCACATGATAATATGCACTTGAAGAGCCGTTGATCTGTGAACTATCCAGTGTCTTACCCGCTTGAACAACGTCCAACTCTGATATGACGATCTCTGAAGTTAGTTTACGGTAGATCTGGCTAAATGACTCTACCACTGTTACGCTATGGAATGAAATAAGAGCATCAGAAGGAAAACATTATTTTAAAAAATTATGAAAATGCATTAATAAGAAAAAAAATAAGCATATACAATTGGAGGTGAAGTGCATCATTATAACAAATTTGAAAGACATCTCAAAAGGGGCGTGTACGACAACCGTACTACAATGAAGTAATACAATTAGAAAACGGAATTTATAAAAACAAATTAACAAATACACTGTATAACGTTTCAGATGCTGTAAGCGTAAAGAACTATAAAGCAAATAACCAAAAATGAATAAAAATATCGCAGGTAACGCTGCTCGTATCTGTTCGAGCCCCCACATTCATGGGCAGTAGCACGTGAGGTTGACAAATTACTGAAATATACCCTTTTTTTAATTTCAAATCAAAATCATAAAAGATCTGGTGATTCCTTCCTTAATGTATTTGAAAAAAGTTATGAAATTATATATTTCACGTTTTGAACAAAAGGTCAATCAATCAACAGCGGCAGACACAAACAACGCATGTTTATAAGTCATTAAAATGCATCAATGGGCGTATAATTTATAGCCGTAAATTACAGAATACAATAGACCAAAAAGTGCTTTGCTTTACAAACTATCCTTATTAAGATTTTATCGCTGCTGGTGGAAGAAAATTTAGATACGAAATAGCTAAAAATCTAATAATACTGATAATAATGATAATGACAATAATAATAATAATAATAATAATAATAATAATAATAATAATATTTATTTTGAGTCTTAAATCCAAATGTGTTCAGTAAACTTTACAATACAACGTGAAAAAATTAACAGAAAGGTTACTATTGGTACTCACTAGAACCGTATACTCCTCAGCAGCCCCGACCGTGGCGCCCTCCAGAACACGGTGACAGAGGACTTGAGGTTGGGATTGGAGTGGGTGACACTGTTCCTGTCTCCACACTCTGCCAGATACCGAACGCCCTCTGGAGGCGGCTCGAAGGTACCCACGATGGTGTCATCTCTCGGTGTTCTGGCCTGGAGTAAGAAGCCCTTGAACGGCCTGATCCCGCTTATTGTCACTGGAGAGAGAAGAGAGAGAGAATTGTGGCCGGGATATTGCACGTTGTCATTTTGTAGAAGAATCGGTACTTTGGTCAGGATTGTGGTGTGTTTGTTTTGCAAATAGTTATCTTTTGTAAAAAGTCCGGACCCATTACAGGTATTGCCTCGTGGCAGTAAAAATGTTATATAAAACAATAGTTAAAATGAGTGAATTTGTACGGAAAAAGTAAACGTATTACATTCGCCAACGATTAGAAGGCGTTGGTTTGTCTGTTTGTGGGTACCTGGTTGATATTGGACAAGATATCTAAAAAAAAAATTGGGAAATTTTCAGGACGAGCAGTAAATCAGGAGTGAGCGAAGAAATCACGATTTCAACTGTACCCAGTCCTCTCAATATATTTCAAGGAATTCAGTTTCCTTTCCAGCTAACATAGAGCGTTACTACAACGTTACCATTACGATTTTTGGGTTATATTAGCGTTATGGTACCGTTACAATAACGTTCTGCATTTCCTGGTTTTTCACTCTATTACTTGATTTGTTGTACTCTAGGGATTATATTATAACGTTACCATTTTTCTTTTTGTTTTGTTATAACGTTATAATAACGTTCTTTGTGGGGTGTTTACTTCATTAGTAGATTCGTTGTACTCTAGGAATCGCTCTCCAGTTCTTGGTATTCAGAATTACCTGGTACGATGTCACCAGGTGCGAAGGTATCCTGTGTGGCGGTGACTTCAAAACCCCCGCTCCCTCTCTCAGGACTGGGGCCGTGTAGAGGCATCATGGTCAGACAGGCCTGCATCCCCGCACCTCGGGAGTAACTCTGGACTGAATACAATAGGGGGTGATATTTAACAATTGGAAGACGTTTATATATAATACAATGCGATATGCTACCATGACTACTGTATGTTACAGAATGAAAAGGCTTACAATGCGTACTTGTTTTTAATATAATAATAATAATAATAATAATAATAATAATAATAATAATAATTCCCTGGGCTGAAGCAAAAAGATCTAAGCTTTGTTGATATACATATATTGCAATATGCCACAATAGCTACCACATGATGAAAAAGTTATCGCTTTTACTGATTTATTAATTTGTGATAATGATTATTACTTTATTTATATATTTATTTTTATTTGCATTTTTAGCAAATTTTATTGAATTATTTATTTATTTTTCTATTTGTAGCTAAGTCCGTCATAGTTAGAAGTAGAGAATAAAGAAATGAGATTCAAGTCGTTCAAGCCAGTGCTGACATCTATTGTCGAAGTATGGAGCACCTGTCATAGTATGGAGCACCGTCGAGGGCATTTCATTTCATCACCGTTCGCTTGTTATGACTGAGAATTGAGTACCTCGCAAAGTTCTTGTGGCAATGAGCCGGTGGTTATGACATCAGCTTTCAAAAGTACACCAGTATTGTATTGTGACCAACCATCGAGTCATGATTCACGACATTTATTGACACTTCCTCCCCCCCCCCCCCCCGAAAAAAAAAGATAGAAAAAGAAAAAAAGAAAAGAAAAATAAATATATAGAAATGAAACACATACTCCAATTATATTGGATATTGTTTAAAAGCATAAAAACAGCATTAGACCTTTCTGTGGCAAAATTTGAATGTTTCTCGAGATTTCAGCAGCTTGTCGTTAGAGGGACAACAACTCTTCGTATGAGATCGATATTCGCGATAAATACAATGCAAACTACTAATGAAAACATTCTGAATTCTATTTAACCACCAAAACTGCGGTTATCGCAATTATTTTGGAATCTGCATTTTCCATCAGACCTCGTGACGTCCATAGACGGCTACCCTTTTTATAATAAGCCAAAATGAAGTTGTTATCCCTTTATTCATTTTTGTAACATCGTATGTGTTTTGCAATATAAAGGTGTGACGCTCCTTGTATGACTAAAAGCATAATTGAAAGATCGGGGTCATAGGTCACTCTGATAACACAACTCTATGCAACAAAACAGGTGGAAGTACGTAGATATGAAAATATGTTCCCGCAGTTGCGTGATTGAATACTTTATCGTCAATAGTTTGCAACTTTTTCTTTCAGATTAAAAAAAAAAGACTTACCGTCGAAAGTTGACAGTTTGAAAAGTATATGTACAATAAAATGTTATTTGATTACACTTCAATAACAGTACAAGTACAGTTACTTGTATGTTACCGCCGAATATTACTTTATCTTGTCCATAATGATGCCAAATTATCACGATTGTTCACATTTTTACTGCCATTTCGAGCTTCGACTCGCTTGAAGAAGACACATAATTCACCGTGTGTTACAAAATCAGACGTTGTTAACGGCAATGTCTTTTTTCACATCGTCATATGACAAACTTTCATTGTTACCACATGGGAAAAAAATCTGTTAATTACAAATACAGGACGCGCCACATCTGTCCATTCGATCATGGCATGACTCTTGTCATTGTTACAACGAGCACCATCAATCTGGTGTTTCAGGTATATTTGGTGAATTCCCTCACAAAGACACGAAAGAGGAACATTGGGTTTTTCAAATTATAACGCCCCCCCTTATTTATTGTTAATTTGCTTTATTTTCTATTTCAGCTCAACTATTCTCATATGACTCCAAGTGTTATTACTATCATCATTATTATTATTATCATTATTATTATTATTATTATTATTATTATTATTATTAACCACCATCGATAAAACTACATTTTTCAAGTAACACGAAGTTTTAAATTACGCAAGGGTCTTCGCGGTAGGAATATGCACGAGAAACAAACGAGGTGGTACACGCAACCTAGACGAAATGGCTACAAATAAAGGAAATTCATTTGAATGTTATGCTCAGTGATATATTCAAAATCTATTTGATTCAAAAATAAACTTATTTGTGGTCAGTGGTACTTGTAATGGTTTCATTGAGATTTACATATTACAGGCTAAATCCAGAAAACATGACCATGATTATAGTGTCGCTTTCAAAGGGGGATTTTTTATTTCTTCTAAATTGTTTGGTAGGTTTATAAATAACCTTAGACCCCACAAAACAGTTGTAACCGCTCTGCCCATTATAAGAAGCCTGTAATTTGTTTTTGCAGTTGCACTTAAATCAGGAGTTTTTCCATCTTCCCGAGACATTCTGTACAGCTCTGCTTCAAAATAACTATCAATCTCGCTATGAAAATGGATTTGGAAACGGTCTGTGGAATTATAAAGAGAACGATGCATCTATAAATATGCTTTTATAAAACACTTACAATCTGCCAGTATTCATATAGGATGCAATGCGAAGCCAGAAGTTTCCTTAAAGGGGAGAAAGGGGTAAAATTGACGAAAAAAACATGATGTCGACTTACATATATTACCGCCAGTATTATGTAAGGCTCTATTCCCATAGATTTTAGATCGATCTATCCCCGCGGGGAGTCTCACTAGATTACTTTCAGATAATCCGACTTAAATGTCCGTCCCGCCTACTACAAGCTGTAAAGGGGTAATTAACTTTCGTGTCCGCCCGGCTGACAGCTATTTAGCGTGAACCACTAGGGAGTTAGGTCGATCTAAAGTAGGTCGATCTAATCTATGGAAATGGGGTGCTAGACACAGAACTAAACGGTCCGCTTGTTTTTTGTACTGTATTTTGTGGGGGATAAGGGGAAGTAAGTGGAATCTTCTAAAGGAAAGAGGAATCCCTGCCCCCGGGCCAGCAATTAGTACCATAACAAAAGTCTTGCACCCCATTTCCATAGATTAGATCGACCTACTTTAGATCGACCTAACTCCCTGGGGGTTCACGCTAAATAGCTGTCAGCCGGGCGGACACGAAAGTTAATTACCCCCTTACAGCTTGTAGTAGGCGGGACGGACATTTAAGTCGGATTATCTGAAAGTAATCTAGTGAGACTCCCCGCGGGGATAGATCGATCTAAAATCTATGGGAATAGAGCCTTATTAGTTTATCAAATATCTGACAGTCATTGTGCTCCATTTTAACGCTAATCAATATTAAGTAGAAGTGTTTGTGCTAATGTGCTAATGACCTTAAGCTCAGGTGTGAAAGTATTTATGACTTCAAAGAGTCCACACAAAGGAATATGGGGTTTAATAAATGTCTCAAGACAGACGATGACCGTCATATTTCGACCATGAAACTCCTCGTGAACTTTAAGGTGAAAAGTGGTTGTTTTTTATCACGAAAGGGAGATGAAAGTCATGGTCCCCCAGGTTAAATATTCTGACCAAAACACAAGGTAATTACACAAAGATAATGAAAATTATCCTCAATTATTTTCGATGTGTCGATTAACCTATCATAAGTGTAAGGAATAAGGGAAGACAGCACAAATCTTTGCATTGCAAATAACGTACTTTGATAGATTTTGATACCTCATATTTATTTATTTATCAGAAGTGTAAGAACAAAGATAAAGATTACTCCCCGTATTGCAATTATACCTACATAGATAATTATTTAATAGCTGCATTATTTCCTTACATTTTTAACCGAGAATCCACGAAACGGCATCTATCTGTAGGGTACATACCTATATACAAGTTGCGAAGACAACCAACAGTCTTAACTCGTACAAATATAAGCAAAATGAATTATCATCAAATAAGATATACAAAGGTAGTCCCGTGTTCTGAAAACGACCTCCTAAAAAGACGATTAAACTCGGGCACAATCAAGATAGGTTATTGGATATGATAAGTGTAACTAGCTAATGACACGTACTGGAACAAATGTCATTCCTTAAATCTCATAATTAACAACATGGTTACTGGGAACCTTAATTTATAAAACCCATCTTTCTTAATTTGCAGTAAACATTAAGAATGATGTGAATTTTTCTTCAGTCAACAGCTAATATTGAGATAGGTTTTACCTCCAATATTTTCATGTCTATCAATATTAGCTGTTGACTAAAGAAAAATTCACATCATTCTTATAACTTAACACAGCTGATGAAATTCTTCTCTGGCAGTAAACATTGAATTTTAACTAAAAGAAAAAAATGCACATATGAGGACCTGCTTTGAACATAATTGTATTTTCAGTCTTGAGATACCTGTATTTTGTGTGTAATGGGCAAGGTTCAGGAATGTGTGCGTGCGTCCGTAAGGTGATTACCCTGCCAAACATAATTACACGCGTAGATCAATGTACATGTACATGCGGTTACAACATCAGGATACAAACCACGCACCAGCGCCTCTCGTGACAAGGAAATCATGTCCCATCAAATGCGACAGTAAAAACCGTTTGTATGACGACCTCATGACATCATTTAGCGGTACCTGAGCGATTAATGGCTCTCTTAGTAGGAGTCCACGGTGCCGATTACTTGATAGGAACAGGCGCATACATTATATACCCTTAATTAAGTTCTCTTTGTCACCCTGAGATTCGGATCTTTTTCACGAAGGTCTATTAACTTTCCCGCTTTTTCCATATTGCACACGTATGGGATCCCGTCATTATATCAAGATTATCTGCTAAAATATGAATAACTGGGCGCCTTTTTCAACTTATAGAAGACGAAATATCCATGACAGTTGTAAAAGAGGAGTGGTTTATATTATATATTAGAAAAGAGCTTCCTGTCCGAAAAGTAGAGGTTATACAGTATTTTGCGAATGGCCCTATTAAGTATGTATACGTTTGCATATTTGGAGATTTGAATGTTCCTTCTGTTTAATTGTTAAATGTCTTCTAAATAAAATATATCAGAGTTTTTAAAAATGAACATTAAGATTAGAAAATGATATCCAATTATAACTGAAACGCATCGTGCATTTTAGACTTATTTATTAA